TACCCACAGGTATTCGAAAATACAGAGGGATCCGGCATAATTAAGAACATTAAGCAATCATCTCAGCCCAAGGAGGCAGTTGAAGAAAAGAACAGAGTTTGGGCAACACTTGGGGAAATAAATTCCACAGCCTTTCACCAAGTTGAAATCTTGGCTTTGGACACACATAAAAATGAGCCTGGCCCGATCTTAGCTCTCAGTGGACATCTGCCAGATCACAAGATTTGACCCAATTGGCCTGCCTTACCATAGAGAAGGCCACTGCTGGAGCAGCAGATGGTACTGCTGGTAAGAGCCAACGTGGATGGACAAGGCTGTGGCAGGGAAATGGCAGAGCACAGCTGGCCCCAGCCTGGGTAGGAGCCTTTGCTGTGAAGAGAATCATTTTTGTAATGCATTTTTTAAAAATAACATCAATCTGATTTCCTTCTCTCGTAGACTTCAATCACTTTTCAAGTCCTACAAAACAATGCTAATTAATCTATTATTTTCTCTCTTGTCACTAGGTACTGTCCTACAGTAGTAAAACTGCTAAACTCGATCCACGGAGAAATGTCTGTTACAGAGAAATCTGTTAGAAATGCTTTGTTGACAAGGAAGGTAGAATCAGTTGTTTTTCCCTTAAGGTTTTAGTAACCCAGGAAAAGATGCTAAGTTACAAGTATTACTTCTCTTTAAACCATTACTAAGTATGATCTTATTTGATATGAAAAACTCAATTAAAAAAAAATTAAAACTGCTGTCTAATGGGTGATACCGACTCTGATAGTCCCTGGTTAACGCAGACCAGTCATTTAAAAAGAGCGTTATCCAAACATTGCCCCTTTGTTATCATTTTCCCCATTCTTCAGGGAAACACTGTCTACCTTCACACGCATTTTGTTTAACATCTCTGGTCATTTATGCTATTTACTGAGTATCTGATATTCTTAATAAAATGTCAGTACAAATAACCAAGTTGTCTAGGAGGAAAAAAAATTAAGTTTTTCCAATCTTCCCTGGCTGGTCAAGGTAAACATTTCTAGATGGCCCGAGTCAGTTAGCCAGGCTGACAAAAATGTCTTTTCTCTTTCCTCTTAAATTACAAAAGATGATCATTTTACTCAGCAATGAGCCTGACTAAATTGAAACTCTGTACATCAGAATTAAATATGTTCTATCTACTCAAAATGAACAGTGTATTATTTATCACTAATACTTAATGACAAAAAAACTGATAACTTTCCCCGATTATACCATGGATTTCATCTAGTCTCGCATCATCGATTCTTTTGGTCATTAGCATAATCACAGAGCATCAACTCTGGCTTATGCAGCAAGTTTGATAACAGAGATGAAAGTAGACACACACTATTTTAAAAACATGTTCCGATTTTCATCTAAGTATATCTTTATTTATATGGCTTTCTTACCATAAAGATGCCAGTCCTTTAAAATATGCAGAAATCACTTTCTACACTGAAGAACAAGGTGCTATATCCTAACAAGGATACAGAAGTATAAAGCGCCTGTTAATTAAACATGGCTTTTTAACTCGCTACCCTGCATATGTAACTGTTAAGTTCTAAGCCAAGTCTTTAAATAAGAAAGAGAAAATGGCTAGGCTCCTTCAAATGAATGCTTTGCCTGTTTTTTTCCTTAATGTAAGAGATCAGCCACTTGATAGATTATTTTTTTAATCAAATTCCTTGATAAATGGTTGAGGTTTTAAAGTTTTTTCCCCCAAAACACAGGCAAATGAACAAATTAGGAAGTTCCAGTCAGGACTGATGGTTTCTTATGAATCTGAAATGTTCAATGTACAGAGTGCTGCTGGGTTTTAGGCTCAAATTTAAAGAACTTGTTGTCTTGAATTAATATCCAGTATTTCAAAATGTTCACATGGAAAATCAATAAGCTATAGCTACATGTATCCACATGGATGAATTTAACTATTGATTTTTTTTTTTTTAAAAAAAGCAAGTTACTAAAGAACACATATAGTAGGATGGTATCGGAACAAACCTTGAACATGCAAAACAAAATCCTGTATTTTGAGGAATCCTGTACATGCATACACATTAAAAATACAAAGAACTACACGAGATAAAAACCACCCAGCTGCAAAACAGTGGTAAAGTAACCTCTAGGAAAGAAAGACAGAAGTAAGATGAGGATGGGATATTCCAGGAGCCTCTCCTACCTGAACCAGCAGCATCTTCTTTCTTAAGCTGAGCTACAGGTAGATGGGTGCTCACTGATTTATTCTTTGTTCCTTTTTTGTGCCTTACATATTTCACAATGAAAATGGAAACGTAAGCACACAGTTTTAAGATAAATATCTTTGTAAATATTAGCCTGATTTCTTTCTTTAAAAAGGAAAGTTGAGTTGTTCTCAACTCACATAACAAAGTGCTTGAGGCCAAGGCATCACACTCTATTCAATAATTCGGGCACTGGTTACAAATACTGAAAAACCCAGCAACCCAATATAAAATCTATTTCCACCGCTTTTCAAAAGTTCTTAGGATTACCTTATATTTAAAGAATTCTTTAAACTCAGGAGTCTGCTGTAGGAAAGTCACTTCTAACAAAGAGATACTCTGTATTTAGTAAATGCGACTGTCCTGCTTCTCAAGCAAAATAAAAGCAAACACAGAAATGAGATTTCTCTCTTAAGTACTTTTTTGAGTAGACATAAATACACACACGGAAAAATATGCAAGAAGCATACCTTGGGTGTGATTTCAGGACAAAGAGGTATCAGAAAAGGTGAACTTTCGCCAGGTGGAGAGTCCCTCCACCCCCACCGCCACCCCATCCTCATCCCAGAATACTTAAACCTTTTGCTGCAATTGCCATAAGGATAGCAAGACAAAAGGGAGAAGCACCCCAAGTCAGCAGCAAGGAGGATAACTTGCTTCTACAAGTATAAGAATTTGTTGTAAGCTTACCAAAGTTACGGCTGCAGGTTTCCTGTCAACATGCATCACACTGCAACAAAAGCCATTATTTAGAAACTAAGACGAACACATTTAAGCAGCTGAACCCTCCTTAAACCCTGAGAAGGCATGCAAAACAACAGCAGGTCTGCAACAACATGCCTGATAGAGCCCATAAAAGAAAACTGGGGACTGAACGATTTTCTATTCTAATAGACCATTTTCTCCAAAATTATTTAAAGTTGCTTATGGACAGCGATGCTATCTGAAGATGCCCCACCCCTCCTTCCCAAGGCTCAACTAGCTTCTTTCCAAATAATTAAATGGGGCAAACTTTCTATTAGAAAATGTCTATCATACATCACTAAAAAAAAGTCTGTCATTGATTCCCTAATGAAGTATCAGTTAATTACTTAACCTTTCTTAATGAAATGATTAACGTTTCAACAAACAAGGCGGAATGATTTCACATCAAGCTGTAGATTACCAGCGACAGTAGTAACTATGTGTCATCTACCATTGCGCCCTCTATTCTTTCAATCAGCTCCATGTTTCATCTTTCATAGAGATTCTTTGTGCAGTGGTAGACGCTCTCTACTTTTAAAATTTGGCCCTTGAGAGTTTTTTTTAAGTGCCTCAGGGTCAGAACAGTAATTTTGAAAGTTTTTATTAGAGGAATACCCCCAATGCTACCTAAACCTACAGACAAAGCTAACTTGAAGTTCTAAACATAAAAACAATTGCCAGCTTTTTGGCAGCTATTAAAATAAAGCCACACCCAAAGTCAAAATGGAAATTAAAAATTAGGTGTGGGCATTCTGGACACATTATTACCAGGTAACTTCAAAAGGCACATTATTAATACAGATGAAAAAATGTCTGAACAACTTTTACTTAAATAACTCTTTTGATCTTAGTGGTTAGATCTTTAGTTGAAGCCCTGAATATTTAAACAAGCCTCCTTAGCATTTTATCTTCCTTTATTTCATAATCTTGTAGGATGCCTTCTTCTTAGGATTCCGGTTTCTTCATTTGTGTGGCATCGTTGGCTAGGCCATTTCCATCAATATTCGTGCATGCCCCATCACATACGATAGAGAATTTCCCAAGATGCTCGGGAAAATCAAAACACTTCTGCCAGCAGGGTTAATCTAAAGAGCAAACAGTTACGATTTTAAAATTAAGATGGAATACTCAGAAAAAAAAATTCTAGAAAGCCATCTGACACTAATTGGTAGCTACAGCATGACAACATCCATTGGGAAACATGGATGCAGGCAAGACAAAATTCAAAAGGAAATTATCTGATACTGACATTTGGTGAAAAACACCAATGTTCCAGGTTGTTCCTATCCCTTTATTGAACTGTGAGGCTCTTGTTCTGCCTCTGTTTCTCTAAGTCTCTAAGGTTTCTTTTGTGACCTCCTGAAAAAGGAGCCCTGTTTTCCTCTCTTAAGTTTCACAATGGCCAACCAACTCAATTAAACCCTTAAAACGGGTTGCAGGCTTTCCTCCAACTCTGATAACTGATGGGTCCAGTTTTCCCATTTTGGTGGGCATCAGAACCATGTGGGATGCTATTTAAAAACACAGATGCTGGCCCCACCCCAGATATGGCACATCCAGGAGTCGTGCAACTGTGTCTGTGGTGGGAACAACAGCTCTGCTGTGATTCCAATACTCGTGGCTTGGTTAAAAACCACTGTTTTTCATTCGTAATCAAAATCCAAACATATTAAAAAATAACACGGGATGGGCCTAAAGATAAAAACAAAGAAATAATCAGTAAAATCCAAGTGAAGATAGAGATTTCAGTTCCAGAAATCTGGCAGAATAAATCACTTAATTCACAGGTCTCTAGTATGCATCAGAATCATCAAGGGAAGTTTGTTACAAATGTACGTTACCATGTCAGTCAGCAAAAATCCTGACTCAAGGATCTGTATTTTAATAATCTACACACACACACACATACACACACACACACACACACACACACGGAGATACAGATGCAGGTGAGCAAGGACCTCACTTTGAACCAGGCTGAATTAGGACCAACAACATCCCTCCACTTCAGACATGAGCATCCACTTCCATGTCTGTGCTCACCACCAGAAGGGGAAGCCACCAGTGCCGCTGGTCATCAGGAGGTAGGCACCAGGGCAGAGGACACTCAAGCAAAACTCACATCACATCCTCCCCCACAAAAGCTGCAGTCACTGTCCTGAGAGCACCAAGAACATCTTTTAAAAATGTGAGTGATAACAAAGCCCTGTATCCTTGGATCCCTAGGCTCAAAGAACATATGTTAAATACTACCCCTAATTCAAAAGCAGGGAACCTGGAGCAGAGAAAGTCACATTATGACTCAATTGCACAGCTGGGAGGGGGAAAGGACACTTCGGAAATTCAGTTTGATGCCAGAAATATTCTTCAGTGTCCTAGTAAACAAAGTGAACCACAAAATTAGCTAAAATCAGAGCATCTGGCAAAATGTGGATGTCCACCTGACTTACAAGGAATTAAAATAAATATACGTCCAAACATAAAACTTGGAGAAAATCTTTGTCCTATCTTAAGCAAATCTATTCTACTGAACATAAACAGGGCCCAATCATCCCACATTCAGATCCATTTTTCCCTCAGTAAATTGTCCTGTAACATGCTAGCCTCTGATATCTTCAAACGGTTGAAATCAAACAGAATGACATGAGCTTTCTATTCAATGATTCCATTTCAGCTATTTATCTGAATTAGCAGCAGTTTGATGAAATACACTCATCACAACATGATTCTGAGTATAGAGAAGTAAATAGTAAACAGAATACTGGAACACAACTGTGTATGTATTCATATTCCCTTTTTTAAAAAAACTATTTTATTAAAAATGTGATTTGGAAGGAAAGTGCAATTAGCTTTGCACAGGCACTGCTGAGATGTTCCCGAACACACCAGACATATGTAAATATTTCGTGATATCAGTTCCATTTGAGTAGACCTGTCAAGATATTTACAGGGCTTGACAGTACTTCTGTCTTTAATTAAATTTTTGCCCAGATACTTTAATATAATTTATATAGATTATTAGTTGTCAGAATCTAATATAAATTTTGTTTACGATTTAGTTACTTTAAGTACTCAGATTGAAGGAACTAATTTAACCCTACAACTGAGCAGCTTTAAGCATCAAGGCCAAACCACTAAAAAGCTCCCACTGCCCTTTGCACTCTCCCAATAATCTTAGATTATTACAACTGAATTGTAAATTTCATGGCACTAAACTGAGTCCCCCTCCCCTCCTTTTTAAATACAACAGCTTGGGGAGGGTCATGAGGAAACACCCATTTACACCTGTTCAGGTACTAGGTAGGTTCTTCCTTTTAGGCAACTCGTTCTCACAGTGGCTGGCTAGATAGGAAACATTTTTTTCTCACTCTAAGTCCCATAAAATAACTACCGAACAAACACCTGTTGTGTACAAGGCAGGGCACGTGTTAACAACGGGCATCAGGGCATTGCAAAAAGAAAAACAAGCCTTGCAGAGACATCCACAAGTCAATCTGGTCAATACATTTCACGACTGGGTAAAACAACAGTGCATGAGAAGAACACAGCTTCTGGCACAATCTTCTTGTGAATGGGAGCTGACTTCTAAACAAGGCTTGAAAAATGCCTTAGCACAAACTGACTGTAATTAATAAGAATAATTTATTAAAGAAACAAAGAACACTAATTGTCTTTCCCGACTGCCATGCACTTTCCCCCACTGTACTTCCTCTTTGCAGAATACCAGCCTTGCAGCCCTAATTGCAAGAACATTATCTATGGGATGCAAAACAAAAACACTTCTAGAAATCAAATATTCCTTACAACATTTATTTTTAGGTTGGCGACACAAGCCAAATCTGCTTAATTTCCATTAAGCACATGGTCACATGCACATTGAAATAAACTACAAACATCCCAGGAAAAAAAAAAAAAAAAAAACTATCATGCAGAAGATACCCCAAATTTCACCAGGTTTGCCCATTTCAGGAACTCGCCTCATCTCATGGCCTGCTGGCATTCCAGCTTTTGGAGCCTTTAACCTTAATTCATCCAAGTACCGTAGAAGAGAAATATGTTGAAAAATCAGTTTAAGATGGTTCCTTGGATAGCGTATGTATAGCAAAGTGGCCTGCAGAGTAGAGTAACAAATCACAAGAAAGATCATTAAAAAAAAAATGCATGGGCCCAAGTGCAAACCTACTTGGCTTGCTGGCTTGTCTCACAAACTCAATGTTTGATCACCTGGTGGGACTAACTACTATCAACCTAAAAAAAAAAAAAAAATTCCCCTGCAAATAGTAAAAGTATATGTTGGCTCAGGTATAAAGTTCACCTGTCTATTCAGCAGATGCCTTTCTTGAGGTTATTTTCTTTAGAAAACAAACCCCGACCTGCTTGAGAGCTTTATATACTCTAGATTCAAAAAAACACATTTAAAAAGAAAAAACGGCCAATCATTGCTTGTATAGCAAAAATGGCATTTACTATGATTGAAATCTATAAAAGAAGTGTGACATCTAACAGGATAAGGAAGAAAGGAAAAGCCCTTAGCAAAAAAAAAAAAATATATATATATATATATATAAACAAAAATACCACCTGTATAAATCTAGCCATGCTCTGGAAACCCTTTCTCGGTCGTGGAGAAATAGCTCACGCTGAATGCCTTGAAGTTGCAATTAAATTGTAGTAATTTAAGATTATCGGGAGAGCAAAGGGCAGTGGGAGCTCTTTGGAGGGTTCCCCTCCCCACTTAATGCTCTTCAGTCAGGGGTTAAATGAGTTTCTTTAATGTAAGTACCTTAAAGTAACAGAATCATAAACAAAATTTATACTATTTTCTGACAGCCTGCAATCTACTTAAGTTTTATTAACGTATACCTAAAATTATTTTTAAAGGACAAAATTCTTGCTATACCCTGTAAATATTCTTGGCATTCCCACTGAAATGTGATAGGTACTATAACACCTAACCTTGTCTAAACATACATACTTTTTGAGATGTGGAATCTTACAAGATAGCGTTTCAAAATTCAGTTTGAGTCATAAGTAAAACATGAAAACCAAATAAATATGCACAATAAGATTGGCTGCAAAGAGGAAGCTGGGTTCAAAAGAAGTTGTCACATCTGCTATATTCCTTCTCTTTCTTAATTTTGGCATTGGACTCGCTGCAATATAAATATATTTGAAAAATATCACAATTCTTCTGTTAATTTAAACAACTGCTGAAAACAGACATACCCTTCAACAGAGCCTAAGATGCAAATTTACAAGGCCAGGGGTATAGTCTTAAAAAAGGCAAAGAAAAACTCAGTAACAGAAAACCATGCCTAGGCTCAATATTAACTCAGTTAACTTTTGCTATTGTAAGTATAAGTGATTTAACTAGAAAATATTTATAGCTTTTTCAAAACATTACATATTGCAGAAAATTGCCTAATAGCATCCATGTGTATGTTTAACTCACATTGCTTAATTATACAATAAAGGTATAGCTAGTAAAAACTACAGACTTTGAAACATGTTGTGCACCATGGTTATGAAACTCTGGCTTATAAAAAATATATAAACTGCTTACTATGTGACCGACACTTGTTCATTAAAAATATAATCCTTAAATGACAATTATTTTTATTCTTCTGCATGTGTTTACTTATCCTACTTCCCACTTTGTTCTACTTAATTTAAAATGACATTTAATTTGGGGATAGTTTATCCCAGAAAAAAAAGAAGTGTTACACAGTTTATACTCCAGGATTTAAATATAAACACAAAATCTTAGAGACATCTCCAGCAATATAAACCCCTTATTTGAGACAGTTAATTTGAATAGTTGATGTTTCTTTCATTATACTTTGATAAACCTGTGAAAACAAAATGCTACAGTAATTACTGTTACTACTCCCTTTAAAAATGTAAAGCAGTTAAATTTTCCTAGACAACAAGCAAGGACAAGTTACAGAGAACTTGAATAAAAGTAGCAACGTGGTCATGTTGAATGTCAATCTAAAAAAAGAGGTTATGTCTAATCTGGAAACTGCTCTCTCTCGCCTTTTTAAATTCCAAGAGTGGGCTGACACAAAACTTCATCACCAGAGATTTTTTTTTCTTTTTTTTTTTCTTTTTTTTTTTTTTTTTTTTTGAGCTTCACATCAGATTTAAACCCTCACATACAAAACCTTGGCTTCTCTGACAAGGCAGATCTTCTAAACTCAATGTGAGAAAACGTTATCTAACTCTGGTGTAGGAGTCTAATGTTGGTAAAAAGAATTCCATTGCACAGTTCTTGGTAGCAAGACAGCCTCTGGACGACTTAATATTCCTTTAATACATTTTTGGGTGGCATTCTCCTCATAAAGAAGGATACATTAAAAAATAATAATAACTTGGTTAGCGACTCGGCATCCATAAGGAATTCAAATGCTGCCCAGACAGGGGCTGAGTATTTCCTTCCAAGTGAGCCTTCGCTTGCACAACAAAGATTAGCATTTGCAATGGTCCATTTCTGCATAAGTGAACATATAGCCTTGCTGCTTGATCGAATAGTCCAGGGTTCTCCGTGTAGCAGCTCCTGACAACCACCCAGCAGCAGTTCTGTTTGATCTCTCCTGCTTCCTTAATTTGGGTTGTCAAGGTTCAGCAGTTGGAGGCTGTTTACTTTACTTTTCCAAAAAAAAAAAAAAAAAAAGTGATTTTTTTTTCTCCCTCTCTCTCATACAATGACTAATCCAAAGTCTAAGGGGGGTGGGGGATGCAGCCAGTGGCAAGATGTTAAACCTTTTTTTTTTCCCTTTGCAGTGAGATTTTAGCTGACACCTTTTGAATGGTAACTAGTTGAGTTCCTTTTTTGTATTTTTCTTGCTCTTTAATTGTAAGACGTTTCAAATAGAAAGACAGAGAGGGGGGAGAAAAAACATTCCAAATTTCTGAAACTGTGAGCCGAGTTTTCTTTTCCTGGACCCAAAGGGATGGGTATTTCCACTTTGAGAATCAAAACTCCAGTGGAATTCTAAAAAAGATTTGATACATTTCTCTCTGGAACAGAAAAATAGCAAGAACTCCTCTTTCTCAATTATGTAGGCTCTCCCTGGGTAGAAAACACCTGAAGTCTTACTATTTCTTTTAAAATTCTAGTTTACACATCTCCCTCCAAATTGATTCTTGCTGTGGAAAACGGGGATGGGGGAAAGGGGATGGAATGGAAAAATTTTGCAGCGATTCTTCAATATATTTTCAGTAGCAGAAAAATTCCTTTAAATATCCTTGAGGTCTTCTCAACTCAGCTATTGTCCAAGTCCTAAACCCTTAAGTCTACGTACAACCAATGGTGAAGTGTAGACGGTTTGAATGTACAGACGCCTTTCAAAGGGAATCCAGAATGCTCCTCCGGCATTCCTGTTTAAAGAGCAGTGACAAAAAAAAAAATGCTAACTTGGAAAATACCTGTGAGCAGATATGAGCGCAATTTCAGCCCCTCAGAAGTGGACTGGAGAAGGTCAAATGCAACCAAATGAAATGTTTATATTAATTTCATTATTCTGCCCAAGCCTCACAGATGAGGGCTTGGGGGGTGGGGAGGTAGAGAAGAGGAAGAAATAAGTTTCATTTTGGGTCTTCTGTTAGAGCAAAAAGAAAATGAATTAAGACGAAAGCATAGGATGAGCCCAGACTAAATCAATACACTTTGTAATCAGCCCAGCAAGGGTATTTGGACACAATGACTTGGAAATAATTAATAGTTATAAGAGGGGAGTGGGGTGAGAAGGGGGGCGAAGATGTCACCATATTTTATCGGAGCACTTTACACTCCACGCTAAACTTTGATCTACAGATTTTCGGGTTTAGGAAAGAAAGAGGGAAAAAGGATCGGGGGTGGGGGGGAAGAAGTCCAGTATTTCGAAGCACCTACCGGCCTGAGGATGGGCACATTCCTCGCTCCCGTTGCCTTATCGCTAGGCTCGCGCCGCCCCGGCGGGCTCTTTGGGGACGGAGAACCTCTAGTGCCGCCCGGGGCTCTCCGGTGTCCCTGGCCCCCGCGCCCGCGGCCGCCTCGACTTACCCGCGGAGTCCGGGGAGGGAGTAGGAGCGCCGCCTTCACGCCCGCGGAGGAGGCGCCGGCAGCACCATGGTCCCCGGCGCCGCTGCCGCTGCCCCCGGCCCGCTCGCTCGCTCGCCGCGCGCTCTCTTCCTCTTGCAAACTTTCGGGTTCTGCGGTCGACAAGAAACCGGGGCGACCCTCAGCAAATCTTCCCCGTGCAGGCTGGGGGGAACTGAAGGGGACGGGACGGGTGAGTAGGCCGAGGGGCCAGGACAGAGAGGGCAGCGGGCTCCGAGGACCCGCGAGTGCGCGTGGAGGGAAGAGAGGATGCGGCTCAGGGAATCCCTGCAAGGATCCCGAGACCGGGAAATCGGCCCGAGCCAAAGTCTCAGCACCTTCCCCAGGATCTCACAAAGTTGCAACAACAAAAAGGAGGGGGGGAGGAATAGGGGGAAGGGGGTGGGATAGGGATACGATCGCGGGCGCAAGGTTTGGAGTTACAACTGTTTATTTAGTCCTATTCTCACAGGGGGCGGGAGCTGCGCGGGAATGGGGGGGCTGCAGGCAGCGATTTCGAAGCAAACACTTGGGAGGGGGCCATGCGACTTTGTTTCTGGGCGCTGAGCTCCCCAGCGCCCGTGTGTGTCACTGCCAGTCTCTCGGGACCAAGGCGGAGCTCACAACAGGTGGGGAGGGGGGCTCGTCGAGGGCCAAAAAGGAGAAGGAATCTAAGTTTCCGAGCGCGACGTTGTCTGAAAAGGAGGGAGGCGGGAGGCGGGGGCGAGGGGAGGCGGAGGCAGCAAATGACCGCGACCCCGCGGCAACTGGCAAACTCCTCGGCTCCCGGCGCCGCCGCCACCGCCGTGGTCCCCACTCGAAGCGCACGCCGCCTCGGCTCGCTGGCTCCAGGGAGTCGTCTCGGCGGGACAGGAATAGAGCGCAGGGAGCTCGGGAGGAACGCTGCGCGCAAGCCAGGGACGGAGAGCCATCGGCCGCCAGGACAGGGCCAGAGGGACAAGGCGACACGCGCGCGTCGCAGGACAAATCGGAGCTTGGGAAATTTCCCCGTTCCCCAAGCTTCAGAGGGGGGTAAAATCAGAAAATGTGTGTGATGGAGGGAGAGGGATCCGGGCGCGGCGACTGCTCGCAGCGCATCCGGCTCCCGCACCCGCCCGTGGATCTGGCCACTGCTGTTGCGGACTCGTCTCGGGAAAGCGGGGGCCGAGCGCGCGTAGGGGTGCGTGTCTGGCTGGGGGTGCGCAGGTGCGTGTTTGAATTTTCCGGGCTCAGAGGGGGTGGCGGGAGAGCTTCCTCGCCGCTGACTCTCGGGGTAACGCGCGCGTGGCAGCGGGGAAGTTCCCCAGTGCGGGGCCCAGGGCCAGGCGCCACAGTCAGTCTGCTGAGGCCCGCGGGGCAGCTCAAGGGCACCGAGGGGGCACACACCCGCGGAGACGGAAGGGGAAAAGTTTGCTCCAAGTCTAAACTTTGGGCCTAGGAGGCGCCCGGCGCGCGCCCCCTCCCGCCGCGGCCAGGACCCGGGACCCCGCACCGGCCCAGCGCCCAGGCGGCCACCGAACGCCAACGCCGGGCATCTAAAGTTGCGCCAGGCGGCCTGGGCTTATTGATTTCTCTCCCCAAGGCGATCGTGGAGAGCGCAGAGAGAGGCGTGAAGGGGCCTACGGGGAGGCAATCTCGCCTCCTCGCAGTCGCCACCGCCACCGCCCCCGCCCCCATTTGACTTATGCAAATAAACCCAAAGGGTGCGGGCGCCGCCGGAGCTCCCTCCACCCGCGCGCCGGCCCGCAGCCCCCACCCATCCCAGAGCTGGGCCCCGACCCGGGGGGAGAGGAAGAGAAGGGAGGGCTGGGGGAGATGCACGTGGAGCCTGGAGATGGAAAGTAGTTGTTTTTTTTTCCATTTTTTTCTTTTTCTTTCTTTCTTTCTTTTTTTTTTTTTGTGCTGGTTGTTGTTGTTGTTTAAAGTGGCGGAAACAAGACAGGAGGCGGCTTGGGAAAAAGTGGAGCAGAAATGGAAAAATACAAACTCACCCGCTGCAAATGGTCTCTCGGTGCAAACTAAGGTGTTTTCGGGCCTTTCCCCGCGCGCGCCCACTCCCGCCCGCGCGCGCACCCCGCGCACACACTCACTCGCGCACACACGCGCGCACACACGCACTCCCGGGCGAGGGCCGGGCCGCCGCGAGTACAGCGTGCAACCGCCACACAATAAATAACAATAGATTCCTCCGCTCCGGACTAGCTTCCCGGAGCCCAGCCAGCGCCGGTGGCGGCGGCGGCGGCGGCGGCAGAGGCGCGGGCAGCAGCGGCCCGGGGGCGCCCCCCGGCCCGATCCTCGGCCTCCCGCAGGGGTCCCGTCTCCGCCTCACGCAACCCGCCGGGCACCCCAGCGGACCCCCGAGCGCCAGCGCCTCCCTCTTTGCCGTTCTCTGGGGCGCTGGCACCCACCCCCCTCCCCCCCGACATCCCGGAACAAATAAATAAATAAGGCGCGCGAGAGAGGCCAACACGTCGCGGAGGGAGATGTTGTTATTTTTTGCTGTTGTGCGTCCCTGACGTCACATCCACCTGCTGGGTAAACAACCGGGCTCCCAGAAAAAAAAAAAAAAAAAAAAAATCGCAATTGCCAAAGAATGGGGGGCGGGGGTTGGGGGGAGGGATCCAGGGAGGGGGAAGTGAGGGGCGTCCAGGCTGAATTGGGAAGAGGAGAGGGAGGCAGAGCCCCGCGGACCAGAGAGAGGAAGGGAACGCCAGAGCAGTCCCTGGCAACAGAGGGATCTGGCAGGAAAGACCTGGAAAATAAGGGGCATGGGGGCGGAGGGGGAGATTCCTCAGGAGATGGGAAATGGGGGGGCCCATTCAGACAGCGGAAAAAACGAGAAGGGAGAGTGTTAACTACGGACGAAGATGGGAATGCGATGGCTATTTGCTTGGATTCTTAGCTTAAAATATGAAAGGGAGGGGAGAGGATAGCCTAGGATGTGAGTTTCCTCCAGTTAAAAGTGAAAGTGTTTTGCCATCAGTGACAGTTGAAGGAGAGAGAGGTGGGAGGTGGTGTTTTCAACCCCCTTTCTCCTCTCCTGTCCTCCCTCGGTCTATCCTCTTTCTTTCTGCACTTTGTCCAATGAAAGAAGGCGAGTTCGGGAGGTGAAAGTTCAGCAGAAGGACAAACCCCTGTTTGCAAGGAAAACAGAAACCCCGCCAGCCAGCGAGGGGTTTTCTCCCGTTTCTCGGAATCAGGAGAGTGTGAATGAGGGACGAGCTTCTGCCCCCTTCCTTGTCAGAGCCACTGCAGGAATGTGCAGTCGAGTCCACTTTGGGGGAAAGTGGCTGCATCAGGAACTGTGTTCTTGCCACGGTTCCTCTTAGGAAAACGCCTGGGGGCTAGCATGTCAGTCCGTTGTTTAACACAAATTACCTGCTCGCCCAGTGATCAGTCACGTGCAAAAAGCTTTGTCCAATTCTTTGAAAAGGTGAGATTTTTTTTTTCTTTTTGCGGTTTTTGAAGTTTGGTTGAATTTAGAAATTCTAAGGAATAAACTAAGAGACTGAATTAAATGTTTTGAAATATACATACATAAAACAAAAGACACTAGTATTTCTTTCACTTTTGTCAATACGCATAAAGAAGGAAGCAGAGTATGTGTTTCTGAAACGTGACTTGGAAAGCTGTAAGAACTCTGTCTTGTTGTTGTTGTTGTTGTTGTTGTTAACAGAAGTAAATTATTTCAGACCCATCACCACAGAAGTGGCCAGACTCCCAAACCAGCATTTCCAGCTACTGGCTGGATGGTGTACACCAGGCCAATTCTTTATGAGAATATATTAAAAGTCACCCTTGTGGATTCCTACAAAGTACTTCCCCTTGCGAGGAGGGGAGAGGCTTACTGTCCCTTTGGTCTTGAGATCAGCACAGTTGTAGATAATATCCTGAAAAGGTTATTACAAATTCTTTCGGGTAATGCCCCTTTACAAATACTGTTAAACATTCATTTACAGAAGAATGTAAATCTCTATTTCAAGGGTAGCATAAGACTATCGGTTTAAAATTGTATCTTTCGCAAGTTAAAAAAAAAAAATAAAGCCATTCGCTGATGCTACAGAATAAAAGAAAGAGATGCTGCTAAGGTAATTCCAGCCTGGTAGAATTCGCGTTGCATGCATGCTGCATAAAGTTCCATGCTATCCAGTCAAGACTGTTCACTGAATCTTTTAGACTAGAATCTAGACAAAATGCATTTTAGCTTGTATGGAATGTCCTAGCTTTCTAGAGGCTAGGGTTCCATGTCTTGTTTGTCAAGACATAAAGGCCTTAATGGCATGCCTACTATGTTCTAGACCACAGAGTGGGCACAGAGGGATGAAAAAATAAATAAAATTCCTGCCCTTGAGGAGCTCACAGTCTACAGCTGTCAATAATAATATCTAACATTTATTAAATACTTACTATGACCTAGGCACTGATCTAAAAGCTTTATGTCAACTCAGTTAATACTGCCAACAACTCTTTGACATCACTGGAAATTCCATACGCTGAATTAACATGGAATTAAATGGAAATCTACAAGGTAGCCAGTCTATATTAAAAATGGTTTTTAATTTCTAAAGTACTTTATGCCAAATATAACATGTTTATGGTATATGCCTGACTGTAGAATTATAACTCAGGGAATAATGACTTATTTAAATGTAACAGATCTATTCATAGTCTGTAAAGAACAATTCATCCCCTGATCTTGTTTTTCAGATTAAGCAGTGTATTTATTAAAAATTATCATTGCCATATTAAAAAGATCTTTAGATTGCTGCTAATTTTATTCTGCATTTTAACTGCCTTAAATTCTACAGTCACTTGCACGTAGGGGCCACAGTCAGGTTGGCAACAAGTTTTGCAGACAAAAGGAAATCCTGGTTATAAATCCCATGATATATTGTACTCAATTTTGTATATGATACTGTCTAATGTGCTGCCTTATTAAAGAACTCGATGTCCATTTGGTTTACATTAGAGGGAAACTTAACTGCAGCTTAACATATTGTTCATTTTCAACACTGTCACGTTACATTCGTGGGGAGCAGATTTTAATTTCTTTATCAGTAATCAACTGGAAGTTTCTTTTTGTTAAATTAAAGCAAGAAGGGTTTTAAAATAAAGGGCATGGGGGTAGGACGCCACCTTTTGGTGATAAAACAAATAGAAATCCCTTTTGAAAACAGATGTTCCTGACATAATTTTATTTTTAATTACACCAAGGCAAAGGTGTTTGTCCCCATTTCGCTGTATTTTTAACAGGAGAAAAAAAAAACCAATGTAAATGCAAAATTAGCAAATTATAGTTAACTGCAGCCAAAATTTTCCCAAAGGTATCAGAATATGTTAGTGCCCTGTCACATTACTGTTGACTATATACACCAAACATGACTATATACACCAAACATAAGCTTCATTCACCAAATACCATGTCACTAAATATATGTACATTTGGGGAACAGAAACTGGAGTGGACATTTACCACCTGATGACGTACCTGAATGCTCTTGTAAATTTTGAGTTGCACAAAGACTAAAACCACTTAATTTAGTGTTCCTTTAACCATAGTTACCAGTGTCCTGATTTTTGCCATATCTATATAACATAACAGTTCCAGAATAATTAATATACTATACTCATTGGAGGCCACTTATTATGGTAATTGTAGTAAACATTTTCATTTAAATCAACCTACTTTTAATTTTTTTCTATCACTGCCTTAAATAGGAAATCACTATCACCCACCATAAATTAAAAAGCACAGTAAAAACAAAGTCACTGATTTCTCTTTGAGGATCAAAATAAAAATTAAAAATGATTTTTAAAAAAAGGAGGAAGAGTGGCAAATGTTGAGAAGGGTTAAGGACAAGAGTATCAATGGAAATTTTTGAATTTTTGTTTTTTTCTTTTTTTCTTTTTTTCTGTATTTTTTTTTTTTTAAAGAACCAGAAGGATTTTAAATGATCGGAAAGGAAAACAGTTCTCAATATGTGATTCAGTGTTATCTAATGCCATCCTAGTGCCAAGGTTCCTACAGTTTAAAATACATGGGCATAACTAAGAATATCGCATTACAGATGAGGAAGCTAAGGCCCAGGGATTTCATTTGCCCTCCGAGGCAGAATAAACTTGGTTAATGGTTGGACAAGGATTAGAATCCAAGTGTCCTGAGTTTGTGGGTTTCCATCTTACTCTTTCCACTTCACAAAAGTGACCAGTCCTCAGAGTAAGTGGTTTGTCTAGCGTCTCAGAAACAGCTAACCTACCGATCCCTTTACAGATCTGGGAGAAACTGAGGCCACAGAGGGTCAAGAACAAGTTCAATCCCCTGCTCACCCTCCTCTCTCCACCCTCTCTCCATAGATGTGGCAGACATCCAGGTGGGGGTCAACACAGCAAAGAAAGAAGGGAGGGCTGAGAAGAGAAAAGTGGATTCAGAGAGGGGAGGTTAGTAAGCGTGGGCAGACCATTCTCTAAATGAAAGCTTAAACTCAGTTTCCTTCCAAGAAGATAAAAATGGCTAATGAAAATCATGTGCTTCACAGTAAGTGGTAAGAGAAGCCCATCCTCTGTGTCCTCATGTCCCTATATGTCCACACCGGAAATGAGCAGGGGACCTCTTGTTTTAAAGTGTACGATATTAACAGGCACTCTGAGACAAAACCACATTTGATAATTGAGTGGGTGGAAAAGCCAGTCAGGGAACGGGGAATGACCCCAGCTTAAAAAGTGTTTTCCCCCACAACAAAACTTAACAGGCTCAGAGTTAAATCTAGAGACAATAGTGCTTTTTCTGTTTTTCTAACTGGAAAGTGAGACCTTAGTTACCAAGACTGCACTTGCTGCTTTTTTTTTTTTTTTAAGTATGCAGTCATATAAACATAAATAAATATGGCCTGCAAATATTTTTATGTTTTTCTAAATTGGTGCTTGTGAAAAGAGGTTGTGCATGACTGTACTGTATGAACACGGGTCCCAGTGGACTGTAATCCTCATAAACTACAATGTACGATAAAGCATTTGGCCAAGTATCTTCAATCCAAAAAGCTGTTCTATCTAATGCTCTGAGCATTCCCAGTGCAACGTTGGTATCTTGCAGACATGTAAAAGGAGCATGGGTGGCTCAACCCCATCTGCTACAGGTCCTAGAACAATCTACAGCCTTACTATGCAAAATGAGATGTGCTGACCTGCAGAGCACCACCTCCAGGTTATGTCAAAAATGCAGAATCTCAGGCTCTACCTCAGACCTAGTGAATCAAAATCTGTATTTAAAAAAAAATCACCCAGCCAAGTCTCACACACATTCAAGTTGGACAAAGGTGATCTATAGTACATACAGCCTTATACAACAGGCTGCGTCTCAATAATCTTGATAGCCTTAAACTACTTCACAGGTAGTCCTGTAAACTGTCTGCCATACGTGATTCTCCAAACTGGCATCTTCTATAAACTTCGTTGGTTCCTTGTGTTTCAACCATTTGCAAAGTTAAGTCACTAAATCACCTATGTAAACCATGATTAATTCCTTTGACATTAATAGCAGGGTGACTTCTCTCTCCTGCTACCCCAAAGAGACTGCTAAT